TTATATCAGAAGAAAGTTTCATTTTCACCAAGATAACATGGCGTCATCATGATGTGACATGTGACTGTTTATTTATTTATTTGTTTTTTTATTTATAAATGTCGCCTAAGTAGATTTTACAATTACAGACGACAACATGTGATGCACAGGACTGTCATTTTAACACCAATATTTTCAGGATTTTAAAGCTGAAACAATTAGTTCATCAAGTCTGTTGGCAGAAAGTTAATCAGCAGCAAATTTGAGGAATCACAATTAATCTTCAAGTCAATTCATGGTAAAGGTTCTCTGGTTCCAGGGTCTCATATGTGAGGATATGCTGCTTTTTGTGTTGTAATTAATAAATAATGAAAACACCAGCACAGGCAATATGCATGATCAACTGAACATACAACACTTTTGAGGTCAACAATAGTGCCTCAGTAATTAGAGATATAAAAAGACTGCCCTCTATAGCAAGAGGATATGAGAGTCCATTGATACACACACACACACACACACACACACACACACACACTCACACACACATATATATACCCTCTGACTAACAAGACAGGGATATCAAAGAGACCAAAGGCTGGCGATGAGTTTTGAGCTCTGCCTAATTGGATGCGGCTTAGGCTGTTTCGGGTCCAGCAGAGTGAATAGCCCTGGGAGACAAGAGCTGACCGCCACACACACACACACACACACACACACACACACACACACACACACACACACACACACACACACACACACACACTCCCTTTTTTAAAACTGACAATGTTGTAGTTCTTTGATAAGATGGTGCATCGTTTATCAAAATACTGTCACTTTAAACTGTATGTTTTTGCAATCTAAAAGTCAGCACCCATCTTCTCAACATAGACGTTGATCCTGCTGATGACGGCACAGATATATTTGATAAATAAGGCATCAAGCTTAAAGGAATAGTTCAACATTTTTGGGGAATACACACTTGCTTTCTTGTCTTGAGTTAAATGAGAGGATTGATACCGCTCTCACGTCTGTACACTGAATGTGAAGCTAGACCCAGGATAGGGTTAATATAGCTGACCATGGACAGGGGGAAACAGCTAGTCTTACACACAGCAAGACGTTACATCTTGTTTGTTAGAAATAAAAATAATATTTGATGCTAGGAAGCGACTGCGTAGTAGTCCTCCAGTGAAATCACAACGTGTCGTTTTTATTCTTCTATTTTGTTACAGATTAAACTAACACGATATAACATTCTCACGTCTGTTCCTTAAATATGAAGCTTGAGCCAAGTTGTTATCTTAGCTTAGCATAAAGACGGGAAGCTAGAACTTCCTAACTGGGACTATTTCTTGGCGGGGAGCGGTGACTCCCTGAAGTCTGGCGGTCACTGCTACAGGCCGAGGAATAATCCCACATATAACCCCTTGTAAAACTGTATCTTATCCTTTTTAAAATCTAGCTTTAATATGCTGACATGCAGCTTTTGCTACCGTTGGACAGAGCCAGGCTCGCTGTTTCCAGTCTTGGACTAAGCTGTGCTAACCAGCTGCTGACTGTAGCTTCATATTTGCCGTAAAAAGGGTATCATTCTTCTCAACTCTCAGGCTAACTCTCTAAATATCAAACTACCCCTTTGAATATGTTCTTACACTAGTCAGTGGTGGTAGAAAAGGAAACGTCCAAAAATCACAGTAAGAAGCCAGAATTTATATGAATAAAACAGTGAAACAGAGGTACTTGTGAGTGAGACCGTCCTTATACGTGTCCAGGGAAGAACCGGGGTTGAGCTGACATCTAAAGATCATCAATGGGTCAAAAAGCCTTGAGTCCATCCCAGCTCTGACATGCTCTGTGCGAGCTTATTAAGTTGAGGCAGAACTGTCGGCTTCTGTGCTCGAGATGTCACCTCTTTCACCACGTTTTAGCTGCGACCACGTGCGTTCATGCGTTCATGCGTTCATGCATTCTCACACACACACACACACACACACACACACACACACACACACACACACAACCTCACTGATCTCCATGCCAAATCTGAATCTCCTATAGGACGAAAACTGTGGCTGCCAAACTTAGGGAGGGGACATTTTTGTGGACCAACCGACTGACGGAGCATGCTACAAAGCTGCTGGTTGCAGCTAATAAAACATGCATCCCGTGTTCATAATGCTGGGCCTGTAAACTTAACTTCAGTCTGATCCACTGCTTTCATATAACCGAGTGGTTTAGCAGCCCTGCGAGAGCTTCCTGGACTTGCTTCATGACATATGGCTGTGTTGCGCTGCCACAGCCTGATTGTGTTGTAGAGCAAGTTACCAAATCCATCAGGGCACACAACAGGCCTTTCAATGATGAATAAGCCCGAGGCTGAGAAGCTAATAACTCAGAGAAAGGCCAGTGGTAGTGAGTTCCAACGGGACAGTTTACAGGCTGCCATCCAGAAAAGGTGCAGGATTATATTAAAACTCAGGGAGTTTAACTAGAGTGGGTTTGTTTTACCCTGGTGCCTGCTGCTGTGGTTTGCATTAGCTGCTTCCACACATTTAAAACACAGCACGATTGGCAATTTAGCCAGAATGTTTTTAACTTAATATCCTGAAATCAACAGGCATGAGTTTTAATCCTTACAATTCAAATTTAGTTTTACAGATTCTGCTTGGTTTGTGCTCGCATCCTGCTTTGTGTATGGCGCCCCATGTTTGACACAGAATTTAAAATAAAAGAAGAGAGAGGCAGCGAGGAGGGTGAGCAGATGACACTCGTTTACAGCAGCATTTCTTCACTAAGCCCCCCCCAAACCAGGACTTTACTCTCTTCAAGACTCATTTCTCGCCCTTCCTTCACTGCCGTCTCTTTCTTCGATCTCTCCTCCTGCTTTGTCACTGGACCATCTGTGTTGTGACGCATCCAGAGGCAACCAGCCCAGCGCTCTGCCAATCAGGTCATTTACCAAATCTCAATTGACTGCTGCTCCAGTTTCCATGGAGAAGAAACAACCAGCAGGAGGGCAGCGAGGCGAAAATCAATGATTCCCCTCGAGCCTGGCTCGGGGCCAATTCCGGACCTGAGATTTGACGCATAAGAAGAACAAAGCTGGAGTGGATGTTGTTGTCTCAGGATTTTACAGCAGAAGAGAGAATTGTGGGCAAGGTGGTCAGGGAGAGATGGGGTTTTTTTTTCCCTCTTACCATGAAAAATATGGAAATTCTGTACATGCCTTGTCCAGCCTCAGCTCAGGCTGTGTGACAACATCGTCCTTTGAGGTTTGTGTGGAACAGAGTGTGAGCGCAGTGAAGAGAAGCAGGCTGCAGAGGTAACAAACTGCAGCCGCTTTCTATTCTGAGACATGAAACCAGGACAGCCAAGGAGACAGTGATCAGGCCCCTGCTGATGCTCCACTAAAGGGCTTCAACACAATGCCTGCACACCACCAGCAGGCTCACCTGAACATACCTTCCATTGGCATAAACAACACCGGCATGCATGCACAAGATGAGCAAACGTACTCTATGCCTATCCACATGTAAACACAAAGGGGCGAGGATATGGCTGCCACCTGTTGGTGATCCTGCTAAAGTTCACCCAGTCACCTTGCCGTTTCCCTCCGCGATGCTGCAGCAGACTCATTTATCCTCTCTGCTGCTGGCGGATGCTCTCTTTCACCCGAGCATGACTCATACCTATTGAGCCTAATGCTATACCGAGGCTTAGCCACAGTCCATCTATTGTAAAGCTCAAATGAATTACACGCAATTCAGCAAAAAAACAACAGGTTTATGTACAGAGTAAGAGCTGCAAACTCAATCCAGCAATGTGATACAGCTAAAACAATCCTGTCAGTCTATTGTTCTATTATCAGCTATATTCATGCAATTATTCCAGGGACTCACACCTGGAGGAGCAGCAGGCACGGAGGGGGAAAAAAAGAAACATCTACAGTCAAATCTACATTTTTGCAGACTTCCATCAAAAGAAAACTTTGATTAAATTATTTGGGAAACCAAATCTAAACATGATGAAGACCACGAGGAGCAGTTGTCAGCTAAAAAAAAAAAGCTTGTGAGTGGATCTTTGATGCTCAAATCTATTTTGAATTTTTTTGCATTCGGCTGATGACATCATGCAGAATGGTATTAAAAGAGGCTCAAGCTTTAACCAGACGGACATAATAACTTGTGAAATGTGGTGTAACCTGCAACAGAAAAGCACTTATTCATGACTGTCCAGATGTTCCAATTAACGAATGCAGTGTGAAGATGGGTCCTTTGGCCTTATCCCAGATGTTAACGGATTTACCCACACTTGAGTTTGTGTCAATCCCACACATTATTAGAGAATGCGCATGAGGAATACATCTGGTTTGCACAGATGTAAAAAACAAACTTCGGGACGTCATAGGGGGAAATGCTGTTTGTCCGAAATACTCAATAGCTCACACAGTATACTCTCTCTCTCTCTCTCTCTCTCTCTCTCACACACACACACACACACACACACAATACTCGCATCTCACTGCTGCCGCTCTTCCCTCCTGTTGCCACAGCAACGCAGCACTCGTCTCCGTGTCTCAGTGACAGCACATGCTCCCATTAAAGAAACATCCGAGAACAGCAGAGCAACAACGCACTCACACATGCCGTCATCTACTGTACGACTCGCATGCAAATCAAGGATGCAGGTTGATCTCTCACACTCTCTCTCTCACACACACACACACACACACACACCATCCAAGTTGAACCCCTTGAGATGATGATAATGAATAATTAATGATAATGGATGACGCTAACATGCCCCATACAAAAAAGAAACGGAATACAAATAATGGGCAAATACAGCTCTTTGTTCTAAGTAACACATGGAACAACCTTTATATCTGCTCCTTCATAGTCACCAAGCTCATTCAGTATCTTTGCTCTCAAGTAAAAATCCAAACTAAAAGATAAGATCACACACACACACACACACACACCCTGTACAGATGACATTAAATTGAAATGTGTCCATACCTCACAGTTGCGTCCGGTGAAGCCCTGTCTGCACGTACAGGTGTACTCCCAGGTGTCCTCTGGCCTGCCAGTGGATGGCAGAGCCAGGCAGAACCCCCCGTTGAGGCAGGGTCTCCCCTCGCAGGGGTCCGGACGAGGTGCCGCCTGGGTCGGGGTGGGCTCGGCTGGGGCCGGGGTGTCCGGGGCCAGCTGGAAGGCAGAGGGGATGGCCCCGATGCTGCTGCTGCTGCTGCTGCCACTCAGGAGCAGGAGGAGGAGAAGCAGGGGGGCCGTGAAGCGCTGTGCGATCTGCGTGGGACGGCAGCAGGGGACTGCTGGCACCCTGCACACACTCATCCTCATACTCTGGTTTCTTCCCTTCTTCTTTTTGTTGTTGTCTCCCCTTTCCGCAGAGCTAAAGCAGCTGCCGTTCATGCAGCGGCTGAGAGGTGTGTGTGTGTGAGAGAGAGAGAGAGAGAGAGAGAGAGAGAGAAAGAGAGAGAGAGAGGAGGCGGAGGCTGGTATAGGATGTGGAGCATCAGCTGTGCGCAGGCAGAATGACTGAGAGCAGACTGGCTGTTGGTGTGGAGGCTGAGGGAGAGAGAAGGTGGGGATGCAAATAGAGAAGGGGAGGGCTCTCGGCTCTATTCTGTCGCCGAGTCACAGTGACGAAGATAGCTGACGACACTACCCCCCCACTCTCTTTCCTGGCTTCTGCATGAGAGTAGCAGGGGAGCTCTGCACCCTCCTCATTTAGAGTCTCATCATCCATAACCTCTCCTTGGAGCCGGTCTTTGAAGGTGGGAGGGAGGAGGCTGTAGTTGGGGAAGACGGAGGAGGAGGAGGAGGTGGTGTTGGTGGATGAAATCTTTATCAGCTTCGCCATAAGATTAGCTGCTTTTCAGCAATAACAGGAGATGATGCACTCCAAGTGTGACAATAGCAGAATGATGCTCAAGGCGGTTCAAAGTAAAAATGTCCAAAATCCTTCATAAAACAATTCCCATAACAGCAGGGAACTATGACGTGATGACCAAGGTGGAGAGAGAACATCTTCACATAGAAGTTGAAAGTAGCAGACATGTTGATATATTTTCCAGAGGTTTTTATGGGTATAAATTCAGGACAAAGACATGCTTTAGGTTGTTGGTTAAGTCATAATATGAACTCTGTTTTGGGGTGGATTTTCCCTCAAATCCCTAATCTGATGCAATGCTTCGTTGAACTTTACAAAAGGGGCAGTCCACCAATTTTACATATTAAATCTATAGTCACTAGTACCAGTAATAGTTTGAGACAAGTGGCATGACTTGAGTTATCTGGGGATTACAAATTTAGAACAGAATCAACTCAGGTTTGGGTTGTGGAGATTGAAAGACTCAAGGCAGGGAGTCTGAGAAGAGATGCTCCAGAGTTGCACTGTGAGGTACTGAATGGGATCCAGCAGTTTCTAAGCTTTATTTAAAGTGTAGGTTTGCAAAAGTCTTTCTTGAACCGATGGAAGACACCCACTTGATTTCATTAACACAAGACTACTGAAGGCTGGTATACATTTTCAATAAACTTTTTTTTTTTTTTTTTGCTCAAAACTTGATTCCGTCACTCATCTCTCATACAAACATGTTAAGACACGATCTCTTAACGAACATTAACATGGGGATTATTACAGCAGATAAAAACTGTAATGTACACACCAGCATCAGGCTATTGAAACACTGGGAGCCTATCCTTTGAACAAGGGACTAAACAGCATATTTGTTTCTCAAAAGTCCCCCAACTTTATGGAAGTGCTGCATTAAATCAATGGCGTGCCCCTTAAGTTGTTTTAATATAGAAAGCTTACTAATTATATAAGACTAAGAGACAACAAAAAAGGTGAATACTGATCAACTTAACCTGCACTTCCAACATAAACGTCCTTACATTCTCTTCGATAAGAAGCAGAAGTCTCATCAGGCCCTGACCTTTCTCCAGACTCTCAAAGGTGAATGTTTGATTTACAACCTCAATTTATTCCGTTTAAGGAGTTGCATGTTTCAGTAAGATCAATATAAAGCCCTGGTGGTTGTTAATGAGACGTCGGCCTCAACTTTTCACCATTTACATAATGAGTCCTCCCAAGATGCAATGAATCTGTCACCTTACACCACTGCAGCCAGCTCACTGAAGCTCACGGTGCTGCAGCAGACTGCTAACTCTCCGAGTCTCATGCTGGTTCACACACACTTTAGTCTAGAGGAAATTATAAATTATAGTCTTAGCGTTTCCATTTGGCTCGTCACAAGTTCGCGATAAAGTTGAATATTCCATTCGAAATGGATGAATCACTTTGTAGTCAGTTATTTCAACACCTACACACATGTTATGCAATTTTAAATCCAAGGCTAAGCTTTCTGTTGTTTCAGAGTTTGGGAACACAGAGGTGGTAACGATGCACCTTAGAGGCCGAGTTTAAACCCTGCTGAGACCTAAAGGGCAACATTCCAGGTAAGTCGAAATAAATCACCTTCGTCACCTTCTCCCATGGCCACTCCCCTCATCCTGTCCAGCTCAGGAACAGAGTGCATCGAGATTTGCCCGAATTATCGTTAACACTTTAATGACCAGCTTTACTGAAGACTGTCCAGTATCTAAAAAGTTCAACCAGCTGTGAAGGATTCATTAGAGCGACACGGTGCAGCGGTGGATAAATAAAAGAACAAAGATGAGTCAAACAGTTACTTTATTTATGTTCAGGTAAAAACATGAACCTGATGCAGTAAATTATTGCAGATCTTAGAAACCAGCACATGAACGATTGGGCCAGGAGAACATACAGTGGCGCCCTCCCCTGGCCACTGACTGCAGGTGCACACCACAGTTTGTTCCAAGCCAGCAGTGCAAAGAAAATAATAATTATCAACTACAGCAAGAAATAAAGACAATATAGAAAATTAAAAAAAAAAAAAAAAAAAAAAAAAGGGGTAAAGCAGACATTCGCACCTCAAACAGGGTGTGAAACTGCATATAAACTTTATTCTGTAAATGAACTTGAAACGCTATCTGGCCATGAAACAATAAAATGAGACCAGCCAAATATTTTTTTGCCCAGCTACATTATGTGTTGAGGGTTGCTCAGAGCTTGGTCTACCAAGATAACCCTACACATCCGGTAGGGCCCAACAGAAAGACACTAACTCTATCAAAATAAGAGCAAAACAAAATTTCAACACATTGGTTACAACTCGTCATTTGAGCTGAAGCGCTCTATTATAAAGGAGGCCAGAACACAATCTCAACATGGGGAGAGGGGAGAGAAAGAAAAAGATAATATACGCTCATCACTACCCGCATTCAACCAACGGCAACTCTCCTTTTTCCACAACTTGAAGCAAACACACGGGGGGATGGAAAGCCGAAACAAAATGCAACACACAAACTGGGGTCAATATAATACAGAACAGAATGCGAACAGACGAACTGAGAGGAAGAGACATGAGAACAAAGAGCTATTCTATCAAATGTGTAGAATGAGCAAAGTCTGCAAATTTGTCTGTACAAATGATCTTTGGAGCTAAAGTAAACCTAGCTTGCTCGATGGATCTCCACCCCCCCCCCCGCCCTCCCCTCCCTGACGTCCAGTGACGTTGTCCCCCCCTCTGGAGAGGAGACATCCTTTTTTTTTTTTTTTTGTTTTTTTTTTAAATATCACATAGCAATGCAATTTAAAATGTCACCCAGATGTTTTTTTAACATTACTCAACTACTGATATAAGTTTTACTCTCTCTCTTTTTTATATTTTAAGTTCTGTGAGTCATGGAACACTTTTCCACTTTCTTTTTTTGATGGTTTTTTTGAGAGACCGGGGGCAGCAAATATATATTTAAAGTCTTAATTTTTCTGCAAGCTGCTTTCTCTAACAAGAAGGCTGTACATGTAGCCTTGATGTATGTGGTTACAAAAAACTAAGAAGGAAGTCGTGATTTCATCAGTCGCTGTAGAAGGCATTTGAATGTGAGATGTGGAGCGATCAGGACAGGTGGAAAGACTGCTGGCCCTCACGGGCCGCAATCAACAGTTTCTCTCGCATTATGTCTATGCTGGAGTAGTCAGGCAGCTTCAGGTAGTTGACACAGGTCATGACAGAAGGGAGGAAGTCATCCGGGTTCTCTGTTGACTCGAATGTCTTCCTCACAATTGTCAGAGGGGGATTCAGGCTCCGGAAACCTGAGACACAAGAGCCAGATGTCGGGCAAAGTTAGAGTAGAGACATGAGGAGAGCTAGGTAACGTTAGCCGTTAGCAGCACAGTCATTGGCTAAATAACGGAGCTAACAATGAACTTAATCAGACATGTAGGCCTATTGCATCGTCAGTAATTCCCATGCTTGCTACTCAAAGTAATCACAGTGACAGAGTCCCTCTCTAACACAGTCCTGCTTATAACGGAGCTAACAGCAAACATTAACAGAGGTTGAATTTAGTTACATTATGGTGCGTTCAGGCTCCAAACAGTAAGAATTTGTATTGGTTGAAGGCAAAGTACAGCGATATCATGAGGCATTCAAATGTAATCTTATAAAATGTAGTTTTGGTTAAGTGTTTTCATGCAAATAAAACCTATACATGACAAAAAAAAAAAATCAAAATATCATCCTTTTACTTTATTGTGTCTAATTGTCCAAATCCTTTTTGATTTGATTTATTTTTAAGTAGGCCTACATTTTCCATTTCCAACAAGTCAGATTTGGCTATCGGGCAAGTAGTAGAACTCCTCAACTACTTGTCAAAAGGCTGAAAAAGCTTAATGTCAAGTGTTTGTGAGGCGACTCACCACCAACAGGCAGTCTGGGGCTTCCTGTGACAAACTGCAGAAAGAGTCTCTGCTGCTCAGCATCAAAGCTGCTCAGCACGTCGAACAGGAACCGTACGGCACGGCTGCAAAAACACGGGAGGAAACACACGTCAAGCATTTGTCTCGAGACAAAAGTTACTTTGACAGACAGTCTCCACCCGTATCTAATGGTTCTCCATTATAAATAAAGAGCTTGGTCTCACCTGTCATGTGTGTAGCCGTGGTCCGGTCGACAGCACTCCATCAACGTCTTGACGTCCCACGTCTCTGATTTACTGCCGCACAGCAACTGGTCGAGCTACAAGAGGAGAGACAATGAAGGAACGTGTGGACCAACTTATATTTCTATTGACTTTTGCGTGATTGGTCAAGAGTTGATGTAGCTGTAAATGACTGAATCATATTGTCAGTTGCGATGATGGACTGAGATGAAATGTGCCTACCTCCTCTGGATAGAAATACTGCAGGTGATGCAGGGGGAAGACTGATTCAAAGCCTTCCCTAAATGACTCAAACTGTCTAGACACTCCTTCATTTAGAGTCCAGTACACCACCAGCTGGAGGGAGAGAGGCGAAAACCGGAAAAGATAAGCCTTAAGAGAAACAATACCAAGACGGACAAAAAGTATAAAACAGTGACTGTTTGCAAGAAAAGACTTCCACATACCCTGAGGTACTCCTCCAGGTTGTAGATTGTGACCGGAAAGTCTTTGCCGCCCTTTTTCAGCTCAATGTTCGGGAATCCTGGAAGAGTGAAGTCCAAACTCAG